GATGCAGATGCCGAGATGCAGATGCAGATGCAACAACTACCGACCCAACAACCCAACAGCCAAACAACCAAACAACCCGACAACGATGACAACGTTTGGAGCGATTTTGGAGCGCGGCTCGCGTCAATTTTCTGGAGTGGGTAAAACAGGGAATGAGAGGCCTCTGGACCAAGCACTGAGAAAAAACTTTATCTTAAATCAAATAAAAATATTCAAAAAAGGATAAGTCTCTTGACTCTAAATATATGTACATAGCAGATCTAAGTTTGAGTAACATAATACTGAGAAGCTTAAAAAGAACAGCCTTCGTCTATTCAAATTATTCCCATAGAGACATATTATAAATTTAATAGTTTAAAAAATACATAGAAGGTTTACTTTAAAGTTCGAATACAATATAATAGTAATTGTAGTTGTCTTAAAAATTTAGGAATAATTACCTCGACTCATCTATCCACATATATTTTATAAAAAAAGACATAAAATTAATAGGCTAAGCTTATTATTTAGATAATTAGATCATTTTAGTGCCTTATTTTCAAAAAAAATATGATATTTAACCGATTTTCAAACTCAATATTATTGTATGATTTATTGAAATCTCATTCGCCCAAACTGTATTATGTTCTTGAGTTTTGAACTCTTATTCTTTTCAGTGCCCCATGCCCCAGTCCCTTTTTGAGGGCCCTCTGTCATGGGGGTGATTGTTGTTATTGTTATTCCGGTTGCTCTTTCGGTTTCCAGGAAAGACGCCTTGGGCCCTGGTTGCTGGTTACTGGTTACTTGAACAATATTTTCATATTTATTCAGGCGCGGACTCTGCTTGACATTGGTAGCCAGATCCCGAGTAGAATCCCTCCAAAGCGAAACTAATTTGCGGTTCGGCTGGACAGCGAGTCATCTGTAATTTCCTCTGCGAGAGGGTCTGTGTTATTGTGCCACGCCCACATGCGAGGAGGCTTAATAAGTTGGCTTTTTGCGGGGCTGTGGACCCAAAAGCTTTTTGGGGTCAACTTCCCGGGGGCTTCGGCACACGCATCGCATGGTATCTGTGTCTGGACCGCTCCCTTGCCCTCCGTTTGTTCGATTTTGTGAAACATTTTGGTTTGGCTTCTGCAGCTTAATTAAATTCTTTTCACTTGTTCAGCTCTGTGGCTCTGATTGAGTCTGCGTAACAACAAATAAATTAGTTTAGTGGAAAAGTTTATCAATTAAGTGGACGGGGTTCTCTAGGCAAAATGCATTTGATTGGGCTCTCGCTTTGATGGTTGTGATATTGATTTGCACAAGTACAATTGGAATAAATTCTCTTAAATAAAAAAAAGAGATATATTAAAGTAAACTATAGTATTCATTTCGCAGTTGCCGTACATTTTGAAGACCAAAGAAGTAATCATTCTGCTGATTTTTAATTATTCCTGCTTTGGAGACGATTGCTTTATTCAGGATATGTACATATTAATCTGTTACCCTACCAAAAAGTTTAAATAGCGTTAGGATAATCTTTGCTACAAAAGTTAAAGATATGAAAACTACAAATGTATGAATACCTATTCAAAATAAAAACATTAAAACTTATGATTAAATCAAACATTTGTTTTCTTTCTGAATAACCTCTTTTAATCTTTTAACATCATGTCAACATAATAAAGTGAACAAGTTTCTTGAATATATGCATTAATATTTGATAAATATTAAGCCATGGAGCATTTTGCTTACCTTTTTTACTGGTATTATCTTTTAAAATTAATGAGGTATTTAAAAATTCGCTTTGTGTCTATCTAGCCTTCTCCTTTGCAAATTATTCACTCACTTCTTCTGGGCCCGAGTCATTGTCAGTTTCTGGGCTTTTGTTGAGTGCAAAATTAAAAACGATCGTCATCGGCTCGAAGGCTCCGCCGTTTATTGTTATGGGGATCTGCGGGTCTTGCGGTCTCCCCGTCCGGATCATAATTCACAGCCACATCGGAGGATATATGAGGAGGGGAGGGAGTCCTCCTTCCTTCCTGCACTGCACGGAATATCCTGCCCCAAGCTGGGGGTAATAATTTAAAAGCGCTCTATTATTTATTTGAGCATATGTCAATGGAACTTATTTATTTATTCACGCCAGCGACAATAAACAAAAAGTCTCGTATAGAGATGCAAAATGGGAATAAAATCGCTTGTGGACTCAGCACTGGCGGCCTGTTAATGAGCACGGGGGGAGAAGTTGCGGGGGGAAATCAACGGAAAAGGGCGGAAAATTGGATGGAAAAGGGGGCGGTGAAGGGTTTATGCCGCAGCGATGGCAACGCGTTGCTGACGTTAATTGACCGCAACAATTTTTTCGCCGCTGCAGTGTGCAGTAAATTTTAATGAAATTGCTGCCATGGCACACGCCCACCGATATAAAGGGGGCGTGGCCAATCGCCTCCCGGTCTCCCTGCGCCCAACGTGCTGATGACATGCTGTCAGCGACACTTCGTGCCGCTTGTTGCATGCCGCAAATGCAACAGCAAAAATAAAACTGAGTTTAAACACACAAAAAAAATTAAAATTTATAAGGGAATGCGAGAAATAAAAATTATTTACGACTGCGGCTTAATTCCCGGTTCAGTGGCCAACGCCTATATGCCACCTCCTCTTGCCCCATCTCCTTTTTGTTTCGGCAGCCATTTTTGATGTTGCAGCATTTATAAATTAATTAAAAGCAAATTACTTTATGTTGCATGTCCAATTTCATTAAAGTTGACAGTGCAACAGCAGCCAAAAAATATAAATAATTATGCAGAGACAGTCGACAAGAAAGTGTTTTAAAAAAAGTGTAACTTACAAACTTGTTTTAATGGCAAACAAAGAAAATGTTTAATATCCTTGATTACAACTTTTCTGTTGCAGTTGTGTTTTACAATATGGCAAAATTGCAGCAGACCGTATAATATAATATAAAGAACTTACTTAAAATTTTGGTTTTATGGCACTCAAAGAAAGTTATTAATATCTTTGCTTAATTTCAATTGGACCACAATAATTAAAATGAAATATAAAACCATAATCGATATTGCCATGGAATTTGATGGTTATTTATTTTGATTTATACTCCCACTTCATTTTCAAACATGTTATAGTTTTTTAAATCCCTAAGTAGGTTAAGTCTATAGTGTATATTCTGTGTTCTCCACAAATGCAACACCTGTAATGTGTTTATCTGCCCAGAGCAACAGGTGACTATCCCATAGGTAATCCCTTCCGCCCAACACATTTGTATGCACAATGCACCTCATATTTGCCTGGGCCAAATACACAGATTCCGCCTAGTTAATGTCGCATTAAGATGGCAATCCCCCACTCGGATCCCATATAAATCCACTGGCGGTAGCCCGCTCATATATATTCTGCCCCTGAAATGCGGGATGCGGATTGCGGGAGGAGGTCAGGAGATGAAGGTGCTGCCGAGATGGTGCAGATAAATTTTCATGTTGTCACACCTTGCAACTTGCATGCCACATAAATATATTTCCACCTCGAGCCGCTGAAAGGTGACACTGACTGCATTTTTGTGCACCTCCCTGTTTTTTTTTTTGGGCTGAGGTGGGGTAAATAAAGATATCAAAAGGTAGCACAACTCGATTTCGTATTCAGATGTACCCCGAAACCCCTGCAATCCCAGCATCTTCGCACCTTTCTGCACATTGAAAGTGAAATATTATTGAATGTCGGCAGAGACGAGGATGGGTCCTTCTCGGAACTCGCCGCATTTAATTTATTGGGAATATTTGATGTTTGATTTTTTTTTTCTCCTCGTCCTGCTTCGCTTATCGCCTTGGCATTGACATTTTATTTTTGGCAGAGATTGCACTTTCAGATTGGCTGAAATACGAAAAAAAAATGAAATAAATAAAGGAAGCCGAGTGAAATGCCGCCGAAATATTTGCTTATCAACAGGAAAGGAGTTGGAGTCAGCTAAAATATTGGGATATGAGGTTGAAGCGTTGTCCAACAGATGAGATATACGTAACGTGTTAAATTGTAAAAAAAAAATTCAATGAAAGTTAAGCAAACCACTCCCGAAGATAAATATTTTCGATGCAATAAATACAAAAAAGGCGATTTATGCCAATAAGAAATTAAATATTGGTTGGGTCGATTAACTACATCTGTTGAACTAATTGTATCATACAAATTCCATAGTTAAAATTTTGATGTAAATTAAATGAAATAATGATCAATTTTGAAATAAGATTAAATAGTTTGGTAAGTTTCATACAAAATGCAAACATACATTTTCATTTTCTGAAATAAATATTAACTTGCAATAATGTCAAAATAGCTAAAATTTACTAATTTCCTTATTTTAGACTGACGCATTGCAGATCCAAGACCATATCCTTTTAAGATCCACATATCCTACCCCGCTGCCGATTAACAAGAAGTCCAATCTACGTAGAAATCAATTAGCAACTGTCGGGTTTGCTGGCCAGAAAAGTGAAAATCCGGAGCAGACAGCATAATGCCACCCAAGAGCTGTCAATGGAAGGAGACCACACAACTGGCTGGCAGAGTAGAAAATGAAGCCTGGTCACGCACAGAGAATCGAAAGGAAAGGAAGATAGAGATCCCGATTCCCAGCTCGAATATGAAATTATTCAAATGCAGGCACAACATATAAATTCAAGTTAATCCGCACAGCTGGATGTTGGTTCCCTGGAGGCAAACGAGCGGATCTGGTTAGTGGGGATCTATATAGAGCTATATATAACGCGTGTAAGGATTCAAAGCTGCCTGCCCGTTGATGGGCGCCAGCTTTTAATCATTATTAATTATCCAAAGCGGGGTGGAGTATAAATCACTTGTGCTCGCGCTGAGCCAATTCCAGTGGGTGGAGTGGCTAATCTATTCCTTGCCAACTTGCAAAACGCTGAGAAATGCGGCTAATTACAGGGGAGGCAGTCGAGCATCAACAATTCATTTATTTCAACGAGAAAAGGGAATGATACGATTAATTATTGCACTGGACGATCTTCCAGTTGCTGCTCTGCGATCTGACAGACTAGTCATTCCAATCGCAATCCATGTGAGTCCTATGTTCAGTTTTGTAGACGGAGCACATGTCCACGTAGTCATTGTCCTCCAATTGGAGCGATTCCTTAGCTATCTGCTCAGCTTGATGGACTTTCAAGGACTCGTTCCAGTGCTCCCCCAAATAGGCCACTGTGTGATTTGATTCTTTGCCTTTTGCTGCGTAAATCACCCTTCTGGAACCTCCGTTCGGTTTTAAGCTGTAAATATGCAGGCCAAGTGGATCCTGGCCACCTAGCAGGACATTCACGCACTCCTCATGTTTGTATTTCTGGCACAACATGTCCCGCACCTGGCCAACTGTCATCTTTTCACCCCGTTCACGGGTTTGGGAGTCCACCTCTGCTCCCACAGCGAGAATTTTTTCTCGGTCAATGCCGAAACGAGGGGCACAGCAACTGTAGATTAAATGAAAAGAGGAAATTTTATTTTTAGACAATTTAAAATTAGAAAATGTTTAGTTTTAGGAAATACAGTAAGTTACTAGGAATCATTTCTATTAACATAATGGGTAACTTTTTGTTTGAAAACAGAAAGGAAATTTAAGTTGGATTTTTGCAGTATATAAGCACTTCAGTTAGAAAGCTTTGGTATAACTATATAATTCGATCAATTACTTTAAGAAAAAAATTGTGAAATGTCTGTTTTTGCATAAAACTTTGATATTTAAGGGTCTAATATGTCTGCTCTACTGATCTGGAAACAATATACAAAAAATTAAAATACTCTTTGAAAGAAAATCTTCAAAAGTTTACTGAAATAAAAGTGTTATGGTCTCACTAAATGTGATCCTCCAGGTGGTAAAGAAGATTGTCACTCGAACTGGTGGCCAAAATCAATCCGTCGTCACAGATTAGACCCACCATGCTGCCTTCTTGTTGAGAGCTGTGGGAATAAACGATGAATAGAAATACAATACTTTTTTAAATTTCAATCCAATAAACTCACCTTTTACCATCTGACATTTTGGCTTAAATCAACCCAAAAGCGTCGATCTGAAAAGAATAGTAAAGAGCCGAAAAGTAATATAATGCTGAGAAAAAGTCAACTTGACCAAGGTCCAAGCAACGACCTCGAATCGCGTGGAAGATAATTATTTGCTCAAGAAGATTAGGGCGAAAAAAAGTGTCAACGCCTTCGGAACAACTGAAAAAACCTGTGTGGCCCAGAAGCGTGGATATCATGGCCTATCCATTGTCTGGAAGTAAGCGATATTGGCAGACCGAGGCTATCTGTCACCTACACTTGATGACGATCCACAGATGGTGATGATGATGATGGGGATGCGCCAACTGGTTTGCGAATGTGATCATCTATGGCCCATGAGTGCAGCAGCTTCTGTGGCAGCCGCACCTGCTGCTCGAGGGCCATGGCCCTAAAAATAGATCCAACCAGTTGGCGGAGTCAAGACCAGAAGGCCTCGTAATCACGGACATGGGAGATATTTTAACGAGCGCCATCAATTTTAAGCGACACTGTCCGCGCAACGTTGTAATCGATGTGTTAATTAGCTTGGTCAGGAGCAGGGATTAACTAACCTCGAGTCCGAATGGATTACAGTCTATTCAGCGATAATTTACCACGAGATTCTGCACCTGAATGACGTTTGAGGCATAATTAAAAGCCAACTTGGATGTCATTAAAACAGGGCTTGCAATCGGTTTAATTTGAATTAATAATTTAACAGTCGCTTCATATCGATATATGTTTTTATGAGCTTTTTGAAGCTTAATTAATGTTTAAACTATAGTTGCAATAAATGTTTTATTAAATCAAAGCAAGTTGTCATAGCTAAATATGTTGTAGTGAAAAAACGGTTTGTTAAAGGTAATTAACTCATTGATAAAATGTTTGTAGCAAATAAAAGGTAAAACTTTATTGGTTATTATTAGGAAAAAATAATAAATGTCAGAGGTTTGATAAACAACGCCCAAGGGTGTTAGTTCAATCAATTTTAATAATCGTTAGCTGTCAGATTTTTTACCGATTAAGTCTAGTGTCAGATGCTGTTCCTTCTGTTTAGACCTGATATCGTTTTGCCATTTGACAAAATAATAATCGCGTGTATGTCATTCTAGACCCCCCTCCCCAAACCCTCTTACATTATTATTATCATTATTGGTACTCGTCTGCATGTCTGGAATTTAATTTTTTCTGGCATTTACAAAACACTTCAACCCGTTTTGACAAGAGCCGGCGATGACAGCAATTACCATACGATTTGCATGACGTTTATGTTTATTTTCGCTTTGTGTTCTCCTCCTCGACAGTCGTGAATATTTTGCCCCACTCTTGGAGTTCTTTTTGGCCCCAGACGAAACGAACGAGCCCGCAAGTGCTCAGGTTGATTTCGATTTTGACAGCTGCCTGACTCACTCGGTTGGTCGCATTTTCGTTGGATTCGCATTTCATTAGCTTGTTATGGACCACCTACGGCCAACGCTGACAGACGACTGGCCCCTACCACTCCAACCCCTCCCATGGTTTTGGCCATTTGTGCAGACCCACAGCGAAGCAATTAAGCCGCCTGGCATCGAAAACAATCCGAGCCAATGGGGCAATTTAAGGTATTTACAAAAGCGTAAAAAGGTAAAGAAAACAAGACTGGCTCCTCCCAATCAAAACAAGACGAAAACCACTCGAGGCCCTCTCTGAAATGTCAATCGTTCAAGTTAAAAGTTAAGGCTGATTGCGAAAAAAGCATCCTCACGAAGAAACAGTCGTTCTCTACCTGATTTTGAGGCACAACTTGCTAGTGTTTCAAGGAGACTGCAAACTCTAAAAGGAAATACTGATTGGAAACTAAAACCATATTTTTAACTAAGCTAATAAGAAATTGCTAACACCATATTTATCTCAGCTTAATAACAAATAGGGTAAAAATGATTTTTTATTGTTATTAATGAAATGGGTTAATCCAAAGTTAATTGAGATTACTTTTTTAAAACAGTAAGGTGCGAAATTCAAATTAAACATAGGTGAATTAGAAAATTAGAATTATAAGTAGAAAAAGCTTCAAAAATAGATGTTAATAGAATGAAAAAGTAAAAAAAAAGCAGAGTTTGTAAAAGGAAAATACGTGCAAGTTTAGCTCATTTAACTAAATGATTTATAAAGACATGGCCCATGGAAAATGTAACATTTTTCGGATTACAAAAATGTGAGTGTGGGCTGATCTCTAAGCCTTCGTCTCCGTGTCATCCTCCTCATCATCGTCCTGGATCTTGAAGTATCGCATGGTGAAGGTTTCCTTGCCGGTGGACACAACACGAACCCAGTCGCGCAGGCTGTGCTTCTTGAGATATCGCTTGGCCAGATACTTGAAATAGCGCTTCGAGAAGTGCACCCCACTGTGGATGATCAGCGAGAATTTATTGGAGCGCTCGAAGGTCACCAGGTCGCCCAGCTGATTGATCTTGTTCTTGACCTTGATGTGCGTCTTGAGGTACTTCTCCAAGTCGGCGACGTCCAGGATCAAATCCTCGGCCACGCATGCGCAGTCGATGACGAAGCGTTGCCAGACCTTCTTTTTGGCCAACCCTTTTCCGCGCAGTATATTCTTCGGGCGTTTCGGCTTCGGTTTAGCTTTGGATGTGGCAGCAGCAGCAGCAGCCTTATTTCCGGTAGCTTTAGGTGCAACCTCCGTCTTGGACGCCACCACTTCCTTTTTTTTGGGTTTCGGGGTTGCCGTAGTTTTCGACTTAATGTCTGGTTGCGGGGCTACCTTTTTGGCAGCTGGAGCTTTGGGTTTGGTTATTGCCTCGCGATTTGGAGGTGCAGACCTCGGCCTTTTACCAATCACAGTGGCCGAAGAACCAGACGATGAGCCCAACTTCTTGTTAGCAGTTTCGACAGCTTTCTTAGCCGACTCCTTCATGGCCAGCTCCAGATTTTTTAGAGCCACCGCTGGAGCTTTGGCTACTTTTTTGGAGGACAGCGGCTGGGCAGAAGATTTCGAAGGAGCTGCGGTCTCTGCAGCGGCCACCTTTGGTTGGGCATTCTTCGGCGGCACTGTGGCCTTCGATTTGGCCTTGGAGGCGTTCTTTTTGGGAGTCTGCGCCTTCATGCCTGAGGGAAAATATTATTATAATCTGTTTAGTGGATGGTTTAGGGTACAACTCTACTTGTTAGTAAAAGTTAAAGTAGACTTTAACTCCTTTTATTTACTCTTAAAAGTTCGAATTTATTTGTTATCAAGAAATAGACGCATTTGAAACTTACTTATAACTTATTTTGAATTTCCTTACGCTATAAAGTTTATTATTTTAAGAGCACGTGACTTTCTAGCAGAAAAGCTGGCAGGAAAAGGATTAGTGTGGCCAGGTTAATTTTAATCCAAAAGCTGGTTGCGCTTTTCGATCAGTGTTGCTATACCCTTAATCGATTGTTGTTTACGTATAATGTGAATCGCAATTATTCGATTCTCCTTTCGCCGATTTTTTGTACAAAAATGAAGAAAATGTGTGATGAGCAGGGCGGGAATGTTGACGCTCTGTTTTAACGCTGATTAATTGGCTTGAAATTATTATGGCCGCTTGTCGGTCAGGCATCAATTTGGCCTTGTTTGTGTTGTCTCGCCCCGAGTTCAGGTTGTGCAATTTGTAATTTTTATATTGCTGCTCCCATTTAAGCAGGTTTATTAAAGGGTCTTGTACTTAAGTGAAATCGATTTAATCTGAGGACACAGGTCCGAGATAAGTCACTTAACTAGTGTGTCATATCATCTTTTTATTCTCACGAATCCTCAGGCACAGAGAGATATCTCACCTTTCCCAGACCCTTTCCAAATTGATTTCCAAAAGCCTGATTAAACTCTCATCACTTCCTTTTCTCTTTGTCCGCCAGTTCATTTATTTCCGAGTTGTACAAACATTTAGCTATCGCTTCAATATTTTTTAACCAAAAAGAAATCCCTAAATTGCATAACATATCGCTTTGCAACGAGCGCCATTTATCAAATTCAAATGAAAGAGTTGGCCACCAACTGGGATTTCGGATTGGGGAGTGGGGTATGGATGCCACCTCCTATCGGCAGGAAAAATAAAAACAAAAAAGTGCAAGGCAAAGTGAATTCCCGGGGAGCGTTTAATCAAAATTTACCGGCGAACGCGTTCGCTGACAATGAGAAATTGCAACAAATTCGCGCTACAGCGAATCCTTCTCCTCTGTCCGTCTCTTTCTTTCTCGCTGCAGCTGTCTCTTTCTCTTTCGGCGCAGCTGTCTCTTTCTCTCGCCACTGCCAAGAGCAAACAAGGCCCAAAAAGGTGGCGGGAAGTGGAGTGGCGGAGTGTCGATAGCAGCGCAAACAAAGCGTCGCAGAAAGACCAAAGAAATGCAGCGATCACGTATACGCACCCCTGCCCACCGAAACTTAAGCCTCCCCCCACCCATCATACCCTATTTTTTACCCTTGCAGGGGTATTATTATTTTGAAAATCACTTTGATGCTTATAGGCCTTTTAAATTCAATTAGTATACAAACGGTTCTTAGATTTCCCGCCAAAAATACGTATCCCAATCTGAAAGTATGGAACTGACTGGTAGGCATTTTAATATTTTTTAATACGGATACGCAATTTAAATAAATTTACTGGAAAGTCCAGTTAAGTCCTTTATTATTTTTTACCTTATTTAAATTGTATTTAGTATTGAAATATCGTATCCCAGTCTTGCAGAACCAATCAGCGCATCTGATTTATTAAAAGACTTTTAATAAAAAGGTCTTGTCCTTATATTTGTCAACTAAATTATACAACAAAATTAAATACTACAATTATAAATATATTGTATTACTTTTTGTGACTGCTGAACTTACCAAAGTTGTTAGAGTTCGATTAACTATAAACCATAATTTAAATAAGTAGAACGAATTAATAGGGTATACGCAATGTCGACTACCGAAGTCAGAATTCACCTTTTGGTTTCCCATCACTCCATGAAGCTCCTGCTGTTAGGATGCTACTCGATTTCCCTGCCGCCGACTGGATATTGTTTTCTGGCTTTGGATTCTTTTTTCTTGGTTTTGTTTCGGTTGCGGATATGAAAAATGATGCCGAAACAATTTTTACAACCAAAAGCGCTCGCAGCCTAACCCAACCGCCACGTCCTCCTCGCGGATTCCGATATTCGGAGGCAGGTAAAAGCAAGTGGGTGCCTCCCGCTCACTGCGAGCACTCGAAATTGATTGATGGGCCCGGCGATGGGAAAACTGCACCGGTGGGCGTGACGCCTCCTCCTCCCCCTTTCCGCCCCCCTCGACAAAAAGTGGAATGATCGGCGGAGTCGTGCGGCTTCTGGCCCGAAATCAATCTGGCTAAACGGTAGCAAATGGGCGGATGGAAAGCGGAAAATGGGTTTGGCAGAGCGGAGGCGTTTCGAGCCTGGGATTTTGCCTTGTTATGGATGGCAATGGATGTCCAGGGATATTGATCACCTCGACATCAGGTGGGCAGTGATCGTAGGAGGGTTTTAGGAGACGTGAAGAGGGCCGTAAAGCAATGTGAAGGGGAGGAAAATGTCTTTAAAAATTATCTGATTTATGCCAGGAATGTTGTAGCGTGGCAATTAAAATGATCTATGATTTGTAATTATTAAAAACGTAAAAAAAGATATTTATATTTATTCTTCACATAAAATAAATAAACACACAATGAAGTTATAAAATTTTATTATTTATGACTACTCAATCCATTTTAAACAAGAGAGAACGCTATAGTCGGGTCCCCGACTATCAGATACCCGTTACTCAGGTAAAGGGAGTGCGAGGGAGATGGAGATAGAAACTTTGATCACGCATAACTTTTTAACGAATGGTCCGATTTCAAAACTTTCTTCTACATTTCGATAGGTATCGATAAACACAATAAAACTGCATTTTTACTTTTCCGAAATATTTAAATTTTTAAAATCGTATATAAGCGATTGTGGGCGTTAAAGGGGGCGTGGCACCTTTTTGAAACAAACTTGCGCTGCGTAGGAACTCCTAGAATCTGCATGCAAAATGCCAATCTTCTAGCTTTTATAGTTTCCGAGATCTCAGCGTTCATACGGACAGACAGACAGACGGACAGGCAGACGGACAGACGGACATGGCTATATCGACTCGGATAGTGACCCTGATCAAGAATATATATACTTTATAGGGTCGGAAACGCTTCCTTCTAGCTGTTACATACTTTTGCACGAATACAATATACCCTTTTACTCTACGAGTAACGGGTATAAAAATATGATAATGAAGTTCAAAGGGGCCTGTAAAACCATTTATTTACACATAAATAACAAAATCATAATAATGAAGTAATATATCTTTATTTATTCAGCTGCATACATTAGAAATCCACTCTTTGCCTAGGAAATGAAATCTAAAGTAGTGATTTATTGGAATCAATACAAAGGGTTATCAATATTTGTGAATAAAATATCAACCAAACCAATCAAAGACCATTCCCCAGCACTTAACACCTTTTTTCTATTGCCTATAAATTTGCAAGCTTAACCAAATTGATCAGGCTAATGAAATGCAAACCGCCAATTGAGATAGAAAATGCAAATCCATGGCCCAGCGGACAAAGAGTTGCCAATCGGCTAAGCCACAACGTACGGCTATATAGTGCTCCAGTTGGCCAAAAAAGAAACAAAATACCATTACAAACTGACTCACTGCAGAGACCAGGCCAAAATTGGAAATGTGCCAACTAAAATAAACAGTTATTGAGTTGACTGTTTGACACTTCCCGCTGCGATAGGCCAGTGAAAATGGGAAATGGATACAACACCTGGTGGGTGGGTGACTCCACTTCCCATTCCAACTGCAGCTCTCCAGTCTCCAGTCGCTCTATTAATTAAATTAAATTTCAATATAAATTCAAATGGGCAAAGCGTGCCCGCTTACGAGTTCTAATTGGGCGAGTGCGAGTCAATTAGACGGGGGGAAAACAGGAAAGGCGGGAGGTCGGAAAAGCGGGAAAGCCCGCCCATTGTGAGCCAGTAAGTCAGGATTGGAGTCGGAGTTGGAGAATGCGAAGTTAGTTGCGGGTGGCAAGACCTAATTGTTTATTTATGGAAAGGCCCCAGCCGCCTGCCTTTCGAACGCTTTCCCGACATAACTTTCGGCGGCGAGGGACCGGTCCTCACATTTCATTAATCACGCAAATGCTTATCGCCTGGCCGGCAGTAGGAGCTCCTTTTTCCTCGAAGAGCCAAATCGTGGTCATAATTTGTCTGACTTGCTGGAAAAGCAACTGTGAGCGGCGTGAATGCGAAAATGCCCCTTGCATGACCAGGCCAAACCCAGTTCCAAGCCCAAGCCCCTCATCATCATCATTCTGGATCCGCCTGCTGACCACTTCCGTGCCCGCCTGCATTTCGGTGCCCACCTCTGATTATGTGATGCTTCAATTCTAGACCTGGGCGGGAAAATGCAGGAGTACTGAAGACTAGAAGGTGAGAAGAAATTCGACGAGCGGCTCTCGTGTGTGAAAATTCTGTGGGAGGCTCTGAAGTGACTAGGAAATCTTCCACATACTGAAAAGACATTCCTTTGAGGTGGCTGCATAAAGGTGTCAAAAGTACACTGCAAAATAATTATTAAACATCTAGAAAACTATTTTATTAATACAATAAATAGTTAATAGTTTTTTCCCTTTAATTAATATCTCATTAATTACACTTTTTTACGTCAATAGTTAATGAGGTTGAAAAATGATAATTATATTAATTTTTACCAATTTGAGGTGCATTTTTTTTAAATTCTGACTTGTTTTCAATATATAAAATTTTAGCCCAACATTATAAACGAAAATTTTATTGTGTAGCGCCGTCTTATCTTTTTATTATTTCCTTATGTTTTTTCTATTTATTGAATACATTTTTTACTTTAAAGATTGTATTACATTTCATTGAATTTAAATCTTTTAACTTCTATTATTCCGAAATGAATAACGAATAAAACGATTACAATTTTTTTGTGAGTGTTTCTGTAGTGTTTGCATTTGCATTGGAAAGTTGTCTCCTCTTTCAAAGGAAGCCCTTCGATCCTGTTTACAGTTGTCCCTGTTTTGTGTGGGCCATTACAATCACTTAACTTGATAGTGGCCCCCAGCCACATTGAACTTTGCTCTCGCCCACTCTCTAAATTAAGATATTATCAGATCTGACAGTCGTAACTTATGTCATTTATGTCCACGGTATCTTCGGACCCGCCCACTCGCTGCCTCCGCTCTGTCTTTTTTTTGAATAAATGGAGATTGCCCCCAGGAACTGGCCAGGAAAGAAGAGAGCATCCGCCAGACAACCTGGCAG